GACCCACCTCCGTGCATTGGGTTAGATCATCCAGATACGTAAGAAGCAGTGACTCTAGTTAGCGGCGAATCACATCCGCCACGTCACAATGTTGTTAAACGGACATTTGTAGCGTTTTATAGAAAAAACGCTTGCCAGACGAAAATCCACCATGTTCTGAAACACTGCCGCCGAACTATTTTCTGGAAGTGGGTAGACCTGAACCGACCAGCTGACACCACGAAGAGGTTGTTCGGCTAGCCCGATGAATGTATTTTTCGTAGTAGACTTGGGCGCTGCATCAGCATGTCGTGAAGTCGTTCGCAAGCATACCCGGCGCTCTTGTTCTCAGAACTGCATTTTACCATAAGTATCGCTTTCAGTGTTTAAACGCTAAGCTGCATTGTCCAGAATCTACTTCGATTCAATGTGGACAAATGTAGAGTGCTGCATCTGGGGCACAATTTGGTTCATTCCTACAAACTCGGCAACCAAGAGCTTCACACGTCTTCTGACCAGAAGGATCTGAGAGTTTTGTTTAGGTTGACCTAAGATGTTCGAATCAGACTGAAACGGCGTCAAGGAGGGGCATCAAACACGTGGGGCTCTTGAAGCATGAACTCGGACGATTCGACCCTCCGATTTTTCCACAACTTCTGGGCTCACACATGCGGCCGCATGTGGAATACGCCATACAGGTTTGTCAGCCATGGTTGAGGAGAGATCTCACCGTCTTGGAGATACCCCAACGCCGGGCAATCCAAAAACTGCAAGGATCTGTATAATTTGACGTATGAACGAGGGCTTCAAGTGCTTGGGATTTTCAGCGGACGTTATCGGTGATTGCGCGGAAACCTCATTTTGGCTTACCATATTTTGAGCGATCCCAACCACACTTGCCTCTATTTGCTAGAGCTCAGTTCCTAAGCGCAATTTGATAAGCTCCATGTCAGCCGACCCTACTTAGGGATGCGTGAGCGACACTCCTGTCATTCACCTGACTGGCTCCCCTTCGGTCCCAGCCGTTTGTTAGCCAGACGGTCGATGGTGGCTACCCACGGTTCGGCTTTTAGATGGCACGCAGACACCGCATGCGTATGCGAGACGTAACGCTGCCATCATAGTTGAAGACCCTCTGGCAACATTTTGCCAGTGATGTTATCCGCTGAAGTGCACGGAATGAGCCATATGGAGATACACCTGCTTGCTCCCATCATAAAACAACACAACTTTGGGGTTTCTGGTGGAACTGTCTATCAGTATGCGCCACTCCCTTGGGTTACTGGTGATTCTTATAGCCTTGAATAGACTGGTAACATGGTTGCAGAATCACAATCTATCTCGTTTGGTAAAGAAGAAGGAAATACCTTGGTGTGATGCATTCTCTGACCTGTGACTTGCGCACATCCAAAATTTTCCTATCCAGAATCGCAGCATTGGGATTGCTAAGACTAAGGACCCTAATCAGATCGCTGAGGTCTTTTTGCTTAGGGCAGTATGGCATTTTATCCTAAGCTGGAATTGTGCATTCGTAACCCGGATCTGCTGTATCTTGGTTGCTTTCGGACTTGGTGCTTGCTTCTGAAGATCCTTCTCTAGTGGAATAGGAATAGGGAGATGGGGACAGTGCGGTACAGTGGCGATGGAATTGAGAATATTTGGATGAAGGATAGGAGAGAGGCACTCTAGTCATTTCGACCTTTGGACGGGTCCATTATGTTGAAGTAACAATTGCTCAAGTGGTCTGTGGGTTCCGTCCAAATACATGGCTCCTTTTTCTCCTCTGTGTCACTTTGTAAGCACATTCGAATACACACTACAGCATATGTTGTAAGATAATAACATGGAGCATCACACATATTGTGTTTCCTATATCTCATGTTCTTTAAGTTTGCAAACATGAAACCTTTAAAGTGTATTAAATAACAGATTTTACCTAATAAAAGGGCGTCAACTATGCGAGCAGCAATTGTTCACCTTACCTTCAATAGTTTGCTTGAAATGTTCGCGTGTGAAATGAAGTGCCCATAACTTGTCTTGATCACCGACAGGAATTCCAAACTAGGCTGTACAGGCCTCGCACATTCTTACAGATGATTTTACGGACTACCTTTTCCTGCTAGAATGAACGCATGATAGTCGTTCACGGTTGCAAAGTTTTGCCAATCGTTACCTATGTTGTTTCATGTGAGATATTCACAGATGTGACAGAATGTATCTCCTGGGTGCAAACAATCTCTGGATGGCGTCCAAAAACGAACTCTTACTTGGCGGATCGTTTGGGCGTTCGTGGTTAATACTAGACTATCCCTGAAAGATGTCGAAAGTTTTCAAAAGGTTTACTTCACTGAGAGCTAATACCGGATAAATTTTAAAACCCGTAAAGTTCATACATCTGTATACTTTTTATTGATCAGTGCGTGTGGATGGGAAGTGGACATACTTAAAAACATGTTTCAAAATATTGTCCTAACCACAAAGTCAGGTCATTATCGAACAACCGTCAGTCCCCATTTATCTGGAGTACAATGAGAGAAGAAAGCACACCTTTTACACAGGAACATAAAAATTTGATATCTGTTGCGTAGTTTTATCAATGTATTTAGTTGTTCGGATTCCACGACCAGTTCGCGGGTGTGAGAGCCAGCGGAGCGCGTAAGCGTACAAGCCCTTTCACAGGTGACATTCGATGCTCACATTAATAGAATCGCTCTCAGGTTTGATTAACTACTAACATTGGCTGGATCGCACATTCGTCTCCACGATTGTACTGCATATTTCCCGCGGCTGCAGAGTCAATCTACCACCCACAGAATAGATGATTATGTGCAGTCTAGTCGCGTGTGGTGTGGTCTACATTAGGTGCCTTTTAAACTCTTAAATCGTATTGGCCAAGTGACTTTCAAACTAGCTTATGCTTGCTCCATCTTGAAAACTACAGAACGTCTAGAAAATTCGCCGCAACGTTCGAGAACAGCAACTGTGGTAGGTATGGAACCATGGTTTCCGCGGTGACCTCTGGGTACTTTTGAGTGATAGCTAGTACCCTTATTAATCAACTCGCATATTCGTCCCCATATCGAGTATGCGGTTTAAGCCCGGTATCCACGGCTAAAACGGGACATTATTCATCTGGAGCATCCCCAGAGAAGACAACAAGCGGACAATGCGTTCTCAAGTATGAACTGCGCCTTTGTTTAGTCGGTGTGTCCTCCTCAGCATACTGATGGCTTCGCGGCGATATTATTCCCACATATCGAATACTAACAGAGTGATCATACATGTGGATCATTGCTGGCCCTAACCCCTTGCAAACAATGTCAAGGTCCCAACGTAAAACTGGTAACTCAACACGCTTGCTTAGACTGTGGAACCTTCTTGTACTCTTTTAGAATCTGTTTACAATAGAATGCATTACCAGCACATTTGGTAAATGCGCCACACAGGGTGGCCTTCGAAAGACTCTTATACATTCAGTTAAGTGATAAATGCCACGCAGCAGTTCTGCCCAGTAGAATGCTTAGCACCGTGATAGTGAGTAAAGTGCATCACCAGTGAACTCCGACAATCGTAGCCTAATTCACGTAAGCAACGTCTAAGCGTTATCCATGAACCGGTATTATTCCAGTCGATTTAGACCACGGGAAAACTATGAGCTCCAGCAATTGGGATGAAACACACATTTCGATCGAATTACTGACAAAAGCACAAGTATATTAGGGGTGAAATGCTCAAGTCCCATGAGCTTCTAGTGTCAATATTCCACAGGTTTTACCAACTATCAGCAAATGGAGTCTAGATACAGCCAAATGGTTAGAAGCTTATCGAAGTCCACAGTGAGTAAAGCGCTCTGCTGTATTCCTTTAATTACAGTTCACGTTAAACACTGCCGATACTCAGATGCGGTACCGCGCTCAATTCTGCGGCGCTCGTTTCCGAGTGGGTCGCATGGAAGTTGACTCCCAAAGTCGCCTTTAGATATGACGGCATCACTATCGCTGCGGCCATGGTTGCCACTGTCTGTTGGCCCTGCGGGAAATCTGCGTTACCGCCAGATGTTTGCTGGAACTGCGCTTGGACGCACACTAATTTCCCCTCCTCCCTAGTTCTCGGTAGTTACTAAGCAATTTACGTAAGAGCAGAGACATTCTTCTGAGAATGTCGTACTCGCTTTATCCTGATATATTTACGATGTATATGGGTCAAAAGTCACTCAGAAAACTGACGTGTTTAGGTTTGGTATTCATAGTCCGACACACTGTTAAGCTATTGGTTCCTCTTGGGATGGTTACCTGTCACCAGGATGTGGATGTTGTCGTATGTTGTTGCTCAAATGGAAATTTGGTGTTACCTGCCCGAAAACTGCACTCTACAATGCGTTTCGACCTTATTTTAACGCATCAGATAGAGATTTCAGGCTTATGTTTATCTGAATGTAATCTCATTTTCGGTTATACTGCAGAAAACCAAACAAAGGTGCCACGAGAATATGTTTTCTTATTCGATGTTTTTCGCCGGCTGTTGTTGCTGTGCGTTCCTCAAGTTGTGCTCCGTCCTCGCCTTTTCTCCTTTTCTCAATAATCACATTTGGCGTCACTTCCACACGTTCACTCAATTTACTTGGCTACCTGTAGTCATAGCTGAAATACATCGTGTAGCCGAATGTTCGCTAGCTCAGTAGTCATCCGCGCACATGTTCATGACCGCATACTCAGTGGTTCCCTGATGTAGCTGCATAGACATAGAATACGTTGTGTTGCTAACCTGAGACATCACACGAATAAACAACAACACTGTATAAGATCAATGAAGATGTTTTACCATGCACTGTAACAGGTCTTGGTGCTAATTAGACCTGTGCTGGAGGTTCATTTCATATGCTACATTTTGGAGGGCTGCGTAACAAACCTGCATCATATTTTGGTGGATAGAGTGTGGAAATACCCATCATTTTTTGGCAATATCCACTTTCAAGTCACCGTTCTCATGCGTTAGAATAAAGCATGTGTAACGGAATACAGATGGAACTGAGTTTGTGTGTTGCTACCTGCTTAACACATTATTGCCGCGTGTTGGCTTATCGTGTTCCTTTTTATTACACAGTTTTAGATAGATTGCTATCGTGTAGCAGAAGTGGATGCGCAATTCGCTCCATCTTGGATTGGGAACAGATGTGAGTTCTACATGTACGAGACGTTTCTGCTTCTTGCTTCCACCGTTAACCTCATATGCAGAACAAGTTTTGATGATCAATAGTGTGCAGATTTCACCCTGTGAAGAAGCTGCAGTTGATGGCTTCTGTCTCCGACTTTGCTTGTCACTGAACACGCGAATGATGAAGCCAAAACCAAAGTTTCAAAATATGCTTTATACACTATCACCACGGATACATTGAATGAATGGAATCAGCTAAAAATACGAAAGGAATTTTGCGCATGGTGCGTTATTCATGTGGGTTACGGCGTGCCATCTACAGTTCTAGTCGAACCTTTCGCCTTCAAGATGAACCCGAAGGAACAAGGTAGGGCTTGCAGTACATGCAGAGTGTAAGTGGGGAGACAATAGGTTTATCACTGCGAGCGTGGTATTAACCACTTAACAATGCTTAGTCTTCCACCTTCATGTCGTAAAGTGGTAGTCTATTTGTTAGGACTGTTACCAGACTGCAATAAATTCCCACTAAGTGTAGGGGTAGAGTGCAGTACCAATCCTCACCTGCTAGGGAAATGACTCTGAGTCGGGAATTGGACAGGAGACCTCATTTGACCGATACTCTGAATTGTTTGACGTATCAAAGAAAACGTAGCCAAGCGAAATGCGTCGGCCAGTAAAAACAGTCAGCTTACCTCGCAACAAGGTGATACCTTGTGGCGATATATTCGCATATTGGGTTAAGCATGCTTTCCTGATAGCGATAGGTATCGATGAGCAATTTCGAACCTCCATCGACTCCTAAACAACCAATGAGCATTATTCCACATGGCTATACTCTTCTGTAACAAGTTTTACCAACGGTTGTTACCATGTTGCTGTAGCATATTTTGTCGACAATGTTTATCCGCCGGTGCCGGCCCACTGAGCTCCAGCGTAACCCTGGCGCAAGCAAATTCAATGTCCACACTGTGCTTAACTACCGGTCCATTTGCAGATGGTGTCGGCACAACAACCAAAGGCATCCAATAGCAACCTATTAAACGTTGAGTTGAATGGTCAACCGTACAAATGATCGAACTACGGTGAGGCGTAAGACTGCCACATATTTGTAGTATCTCCAGCGAGATGCGTCACTAGGTCGAAGTAGTTAGGTATGTTCCAATGAGCAGTTGTTATTTGCTCAGGTTTAAACAGACGCCGCGACAGATTGACCATTAGACTTCAACTCGAGTGCTTTGGGATTTAGAACTTGACAACTGGCCTTCCGGCCGTTCGTTGTCAGTCAGCCGATTTTCCGTATTTGGCTTCACACTGATTAACCAATGAGGTTTCCGCACGTTTTCTTTACATAACACGACCCTGAATTTTGTGGTGTCACTTGGTATGTTTAGGCTGCTCATAGTACAGGCACTGTGGAGCCGCATGCAATCGGCTCGTGCATACGAATGTAGTTATCAAACGCGGTTTCCGAATTGCTTCCATTGTAGCACGGATACATGCTACGTATAATAGCTTTTTCTACCACTGTCACTCAGATCTTTTATTTCGTTTCCAGTATTAACAACCATCTGGTTTGTGGCACCAGTTTGACTACAGTGCAGTTGCAACAGTTGTCAAGGTTTCTGTCAGAATTAGCTCCCTGGTGTCAGCGAATGGCGCAGAAAAACGTGGAAGGATGTGTTTTCTGTCGGAGCAATCAGGCACCGTTTGAGCAGTACGTTACACACAAGGTGCGTTGAACTGTTCTCATGACTCAGTGTTACTTTACGTGTGATTGGAAGCTATGTTAAACAGTTTATGTTGTTTTCAGTTCATTGTATTTTCTTCTTTACATAAAACGTCAACCCTATTCGAGTCACACGGCGGTATGCAGGATAGCCTTATCAACCCGTGCAGCGCAAGTTAACAAGGTTGTTCTGCTCGCACGATTTTAAAAAAAATACTATATTCATGTATCCTTCTCGACAGAGGATTTGTAGTAGAACCTGTGGGCTTCTGTATACTTCTGAGATGTTCTCCAACGTTTTTTGTGACATTTTGCTCGACCGTACTTGCTATTTCCCTCCATCAGTATTACGTTCCCTTTGATTGTGGTAGCGCTTTTGGGAGCACTCAGAGCTTAGTGGCGTGAAACGTCGATGAATGGTTGTTGCAACGCGTCTTGGTTATGTCGACTGTTAGTCAGAACGACCGAACGTTTTCCACTATTAGTACCCCAAGCGTGCAGAGTAGCCAATTTAATTCGTAACGTTGCTGGTCAACGAGACCTAGCTTCCAGACGTAGACTCAAGCTGAGACTGGAGACAAAACGCGTAACCTAGCGCGACTATCCTAAGGCCGTTACCAAGAGTTCTTTTGCTGACTCAATCAAGGTAAAACATGTCTACTATATTTTTATAGCGCAATAGATTAGCATAAACCATAGAGAAAAGTGGATGTTTGCAAGGTACATGAGTTGTCGCCAGGTGGTGAAGTCCTGAGGGAATCTCAGTTAGTGTCAGAGTGAGTTTACACGGTAACTGTCGCAGCAGCTGTGGAGCTCAGGTGGTTCACTGTGGCTTGCCACCATAGATACAGTAATGTGATGAGGAGACTTCATTGGGTTCACTGTAGCCTACACAATAGATGCATCAATCTCCTGAGTTGAGCTCAGTTGGTTCTTTATGCGGTGGCGGCAATGTGCTGGGGACGGCTCAGATGTTATTAGCGCAGTCTGAGTTGCCGCATGTCGATTGTATATCTGAGTGTACTGGACGAAATTTGCGCAAGTTTGCCGAGGTTATGTTAGCTCTGTAATAATGGTCAAATATGGACGTCTAGGTAACCGGTACCGCGTATAATTCTGGAAGTTCAACTGGACCGGGGCGACCCCTGACGTGTTTGCAGTCTCGTAGGTTTACTGCAGGGCAGTTGTTTGGAAAAGTTCCAACTGTTATTCGTACGCGGGACTATTCAGCTAGTTTCCCAAGGTATATAACGCTGCAGTCAGAGGCGCCGTCGTTGACACGTGTGATCAGTTGAGCAAACTACGTGAGGCGTATCCAAGACTCGTCGTTTTTAACTCTGTGGAGCACACAGCTCTTATGTCTGCCCGGATTTCACGGTTTTATTGAATTACCCATCAATACGGATTTTCGCGAACTGGACAGGTCATTTTGATGTACCCGTTTTGTGGATGGATTGCGACGCGCAATATCAATGAAGGCCACGATACGCAAAGAAGTGAGCGTCTATCAGTTAGATCACTTGGGCCAAAGTTGGTAGTGCCTTAAAACGGATTCCCTCAGGGATAAGCGGTTTATTGAAGGTAAGCTAGACAACAGGAAAAAAGCTCAGAACCCGTTCGCACAGCGTTGCACATGTATTGTGTATTACTAAATATAAAGTTCCATCACTAGTGTTTTCTCTTTACTCCACTTAAACAATACTTGGCAACTGTCATTCTATCCGTGGAATTTGGCCTGGCCAATAACCGAGAGCGTTCACAAAGCATCTGATAGCCTGACTCGGAGATCTCGACGCTACAGTGAATAGTGAACAATGATTTATCCCGGGTAAAATTAGCAATTACTTGATAATTCCCACAGGATGATAGAGGTAAAACTGTAAGATCAAAAGATATGTATTGTCTTTTTGAGCGTTTATCCAGCAGTTGCACCGCTGATTAATAATTGGGAATAAATGGGAACTGAACGCAAACGACGAGTCAACATGGGTGCAGTTATAATTGATGTACTCCGTGAGAAAAGTAACAACAAAAATACTCACTTCCTCCTCAGATTTATGTGAAATAGTAATCCGGCCTGATGGGATAATGCATGTATTCCAAAGTAGCTCAGTTAAGGCAACGAAGTGTTGGACAATGTACAATCGTTCTTTGAAGATTTCCCAGGTGGAGGAGGAAACAACTAAGTTTGGTAAAGATTTCCATGATTGGCAAACCCGAAGAAAAAATAAATCGCACCAGCATTCCAGGTGGCTATACTGTTCACACAATCTCAGAGGGTTACCTCTGAGATTGGTGTTATGGCTGAGTTTCAGCAAGTGACGTCATACGTGATTAGGGTCACTCAGTATTTGGTAGACTAATAATAGCTCACCGCGCAGGCTTCGGTAGCCGCCACTGAAAACTCCCAGTGACTTCAGCCTTTACTGCCGCCCTTTACTGCAACTCAGCAGCAATACAAACCTGAGGGGCCACTCATTAAAACTCGCAGAACAATACAGTCGTCTGGAGTGTCGCAGAAATTTCTTTTCCATCCGTGTCTGTCACCCGTGGAGTGCTCTCCCAGAATCGGTCATCTCTGCACCGACACTAACAATATTTAAAAGACGGTTGGACGATGCACTCATCCACTTACACTTTGTTACTTAACACTATGTCTCCATCCTACACCTGGAGTTTACTCTGGAATTATTTGTTGTTAATTGTGGGTGTTGTAAATCTAAGTGGATCGCAGGACTGCAGCGAAACAAACGATAAGTCCTTATTTTCCTATTTAAAATGTTAACTATTTTACTATCCTTTTCGTCATAATTATTATGTTGATATCCCCACCAACTATCCAACGGGGCTTGTAAAGCGACGCTTCTTAACCCGTATAAATTCATTGTTCATTGGTAGGACAGATTTCGTTGACCCTTGACGTTCTTTGGGGTCCTGCATTGTGGTTTTTCTAGCACTTTTAAGTCGCGCTTCAACCAATGTTACCAAGCTTGGATGGCGTGCGCAACGTGAGGGTGCACGTAAGAATTATGCATCATAGGGAAGATGGATGGGTCGAAACTTCCGACTGCTCCCCGCAGCAAGTCGACGTGCTGGTTCGCTCTCTTTGTAGCTACCACTGACGGCTTTAAACAGTTAAGCTCACTCTGAATGAGTACACCAAGGTCACTTTATTTGGAAGTGATTTGCAATACATGCGACCCAAGCTTAGACACGTAGTCATACCTGTAGCACAATTGAGCGGCGCGACATTTTCCTACATTGAACGGTAGTGTATTCTGAATTGATCAGTTGGAAATCGTGTTGAGGTCCCGTTGGAGCTGTTCGTGGTCGTTCGGTTCTCTTTTCCCTCGCCATAGCTTGATATCATCAGCCAACAATAGGAAATCGGAAGTAATTGCCCACGCTAGATCATTTATGAAAATCAAGTATAGACTTGGCTCTAGCACCAAGCCTTGTGGTACGTCGCACCCCACCACAATCGCATCGGACAGGTATTCTCGTACCCTCACCTCTAACCAACGTTCGTGCAGGAAATTGCCTATCCAACGCAGCAGTGGATTACCAATGCCAATGAACTCAAGTTTATGGAGGAGAATCCAATGGTCTAAGTGATCGAACGCTTTTGAGATGTCCAGATTAATGACATCGACTCCTGCTCCACCATAGACTGCTTCAGTCCAGCTATTGCGTGCAATGGGAACACTGGAACAATGGTATACTACGAATACGGCTTGACCAGTTCCGTGGGATGGTTTGTGGTAATAACGCCAGTTTAAATAAAATTTGCCTAAATGGAAAAAACGCATCTGTGGACTCATGTTATCCAGCTTAACAGAAAGATAGATCCGTCTACCTTGATTTCGTGGGGTTGGTGAGCACAATGTTTGCGTCTTGTCGTCACTCAATGAACAGAAATTAGACTAAGTAATGTAAATGCTGTTGAGCATTGTCCAGTCGTTTTTTAACCATGGGTAGCGTCTGCGCGGAACTGACCAAAGTTGAAAGAGCCTTCCAAGGTTGGCCAATTCGAAGGGAAACCTAATTCCGGTGGTATTCCAGCCGACCGGATTGGGTGGCAAGTTTCGACTTATGATCCCTCAATTCAATATTGCGGCTAAGCTTTAGGAGCTGGGGGCAGGCGTGACCGGGGTTTTACAATATCTGGAACGTCAGGATGAGGTCACCCCTAGACGGCGATATCTTCCGCTGTACAGTCCCAGGGCTTTCAGTCGCCTATGTCATTGAAGGTGTGATAACCCTATTGTGTATTCTGTCAGCATGCTTGACTGCTAGTCTAAACAGACACGTGCTCACAACCCCAGAAACACAAACAAAGCGCCTAATTCTCTACCAATTTACCTGGTCAAATAGTAATCATGGACGACATCTGTGTATTCGATAGGACTCCAGAAGAACATGATTCACGACTACATGATCTTAACCTGCGGTTAAACCTGAGAAGTATAAATTTAATGCTAGTGAAATCGAGTTCTTGGGCCACATTATAACAACTGATGGTATGAGTCCATTAGGTCTCAGTGACCATGTAGTAATAACGTTTAACTATGTGTGCTATGCAGAGTATCCATCTGAACACTCGGAACTAACTCATACAATCACACGCTACCACGTGTTGAAAGAACACGTCGACGCAGCTGCTTGGGAATTCTCAAACAAAAGTCCCCTCGACAACGTCTGGGCAGAGTTCGTTAATAGATTCAGCGACATCGTCAACAGAGCATCAGAGACCAAGCCCCTTCGTCCCGCGAAAATACCTTCAGTTCTAAGGTGCAGGACTCGAAAATGCCTGGCGATAAGGGATGCAGCATGGCGTGCTTACGAGATTAACCCCGACTCAAGACTTGGGGCCATTTCCTGATCCATCGCAAACATTGCACTGCTTTTGTCCGTAAGGACAAAGTAACTTATCAACAGTGCCTAGCCAAAAAGTTCATAGCAAACAACAAACTACTATAAAGGCATGTCAATAAGCTTCGTAAA